ATTTCAGTGGCAAACATTCTATTGTAAACAAATATGTTATCTGAAACAATAGTTAATAAGAAAAATTGGTATATTTCACTCTAAAACAACAATATTGAAAATAATCAACAATTTGTCATTAAACTACACCAGGGTTTTGCAAATGACTGATTACATCTGTTTAAACACGACGCTTATCTCGAACAGAACCAGAAATAAGATAATAGTGCATTGCACTATAATCATTGTAATTGATACAGATAGGCCTATTATAACAGTATCTTTGCTTTCCACATGACACGTTGCAAGAGTAATTAACTACAAGACCTGATACGACACTTGATATGGTAATGAATACTTAATACCGCAAATAATTGGGTTGAAAACTTACATTATTAATATACTTTGCGTGTTATGTCTTGTATTTAGGAAAAGATCCAATGTTATATAGCAAATAATACCAACAAAACCAAAGAAATGAATGTATTGTTAAATATTGTTAATATTTTAACACGTGCACAAATCCTAGAAAAATATGACATGGAATATATAATAGGATTAAAGTATAATCATATTTATTTAAAGTATATTCATGTTTTAATAATTTAAGAGAAAAGAAGATCATAAAACACTGTTCATAGCCAGTTTTCTCTTATAATCCACAGCCCACGCTTAGGCATTTTCACCTAATATCATTATGCCACACTGCAAAGGTTATCTCATCGATCATCTGATAAAAAAGCAAACATTAAATTAATTTTATAATGCACGGGTTCCATGCGATATCCTAGTTAGAAAATTGACCGGATATTGCGTGTTTTTTGTGTGTTTTTTCTCCCAGGAAATAAATATTTGTACCTATTTGATATTACGTATCACAGGATATGATGTGCTGATCGAAGAAAGGATTTGAAGATGAAATCTATAATTTTGTTTTTTTTAGAAATCCCCTGCATAAGCATAATCACATTTCTTGTAGAAAAATATAATATACGTGCAGTGGTACTCTTGAAAAAAAAAAATTAAAGCGCGGTGGTCGTCGCGCAGTACGTGTTTGAATTTCATGTACTGCCGCCCTTTAAACGTTTTGAATTTAGCGCGCACGAGACGCGTTATCTTAACTGCTGTGCACGGCGACGTATGGAAACATGTAAATTTACACAGTAAAATAAATTTTCTAACGTGAAAAATGAATGTAGATCTCACGAGTCTTTCAAATATTGATTTGACGTATAAGTCCAGGGAGCATCGACCTCAATCACTTGTTACCATTCAGAATACATATATTCAACAATCGACATCTAAGTAATTGTAATTCTACAAACAGCAAATACCTATAGCCCTGGTAGAGCTGAACTCGGTGCACTCCGTTGCTTAAGTAGAAATGTTAGCCAATGCTTACTAAATCATAGTAATTTTAAACTTCACAACTATACATATGTGCAACGATTGCGTTTCATATATATTCTCCAACATATTTACAAAATTATTAATGCACGGGGTGAAACAGTCCGAGTCGCCTGTTATACTAGTATATTGCACTGTATATTGTCATGATCTATCATTTTATGACTCCAAACGTTAAGTCGGTAGCTGTATTATAGTCGATTAGCTGGAAGCAAGTTTTATAATCCGGATATCATTCATCATCATCCCTCCGGTGACATCGACGACGTCAACGTTAAGCTCGATTTTTTTAAGGTTTTTCTTAAGGTTTAACATCTTTGTTCCTTCTCTCCACTAGTTGGTCAAAAACACCGATAATCAGGTTTTATGGGATTCAGTTTGGTTTAACCCGACGGATATGTCAATATATAAACTAAGACTGTCGATGGATTATATAAGGAGCTTATTAGGATTTAGATGTCAAATGCATTACATTAACGCGGTTCAAGTGCATTCTCAATTCAGGAACTTTTCACAAAAGAGTCAATGCATTTTACAAATTACTGCTTTATAATTTGGAACATGATACGTCAAGTTCATCGCATTACGATCAAACGAGTGTAACGCACATTTTTTTTTTTGAATTTGTGACGGTACCGACAGCCTGGCCCACATGATCGCTGCATCATTCCCAGGCTAACTACATTGACAGCACATCGATATCTACATAATATAGTTGTCATGCATGATAGACTTTTTAAATCATGCGAGTTCCTCTCACAAACACCTCAATGTTCTATACCATCTTAAGGTTTTTGGGACGACACAGAATAGGTTTTTAAAATAAATAAATAAATAAATAAATAAATAAATAAATAAATAAATAAATAAATAAATAAATAAATAAATGAATGAATGAATGAATGAATGAATGAATGAATGAATGAATGAATGAATAAATAAATAAATAAATAAATAAATAAATAAATAAATAAATAAATAAATAAATAAAACCATACTCTCCTGGTAAAACATAGTCGTGAACATACAATGATCGACGGTTTCACGTTTATCTCTGTCTGATAGAACCTTCGGGCATACAATATGTGACTCTCATTGAATCCGGTCGATACTTTATGACCGACAAGTTTGTTCCATGTTGGCAAAATATGTTTGTAATTGTACCAGCATCCTTAGCGTGTTTAATGAGTAAGCGGTACAGCACAGACAAACACTATATACGACTATTGACGTGTTTGACAATTACGTGAAATAGAATCGCCGCTAAAGGTTGTGCTATCGAAAATGTTATACAGTTGTATTACATGATATATGCATAATCCATGTATAATCATATGAACGGCTCTAATGGTGTTCATTTTTTTTTAAATCCACCCAGACAATTTATATTAAATAATATACAAATTATTACTGCAACTATACATGTAGCTTTATAGTCGTAATGGACTAGGTTTATTTGTATTACTATATGCATCTCTCATAAAGGCTATTCAACTATGACGACAGCAGAGTAATGTGGAAATATCATAATTTACCGTAAAAAGTTAAAAAATACCTATGTCTCTATCGCGATCCTACAGGATGTGTCAATGATTAAATTGAATCGATAATTTCGTCTCATCTGTCTACATGTCTGCTAATTATTTATGGACGTATGGAGAGGCCGGATGCAATCACCATTACGTAATTATATTTTGTATCTACTGGCTCATCGAAACGCCATAACAGAACTGGGTGTTTCTATTTCTTTTTATGTAGAAACCGATTTATCATGTTCTACTATGTGCCTCTATCTTTGCCAATTCACGCTCCTTTCTCTATTATAATTCAGTGTGCGTACAGAGAGTCTGATTATAGATGATGGCAAACACTATTCTATCCTTATATAACACCATTCATAAGATGCATTAAATACCAAATACCCAATCTCTGTATACGTCTTGCATGGTGTCGTATGCTTTGTCATTTCCATCGACAATTTTTCCTTCATAAATATATCTCCATACATTTTGATTGATTTCCAAATTAGTCAAGTGAAGCTATACCTAGGGTTGAATGACCTGGAAGGCGCGTTCTAAAACAAATGGGGATATCTGAATGTCGCTCTGGAAATGGGAATATTAATAAAAAAAAGTGTAAACATGTTTTGTCTCTGGATTGCAACATATAAATTAACTTCTGGAAAAGAAGTACTTAAGATTTGCATGACGGATGTTTCGGAACCTACAATCGTCAAATCCAAGTCATATCGTAGGATAGTATCAAGGCCATATAATAGTGTTTATTAGCTCATTGGTTGTAAAATGACGTGACGTACTCACCACATCCACTACTTGGTAGAAACTGAGTCCCATCGTCACTATTATCGGGTTCGTACTTTGGTTCATAGGTAATATCATTCTATTATAACCATCAAGTAACTGTTCAAGAAGTCGAGTTTGTGTCTCAGCAACTGCGCATTCAGCGTCTATAAAAGAAATACATTGTCAATTATAATTATAAACACGATATGCCTGTCCACTTGCATTTAATGAAATATCTAGTATGTCATAGGTCCATTAATGCTACACTTATATAAAGTCAAATCAAACTGTTGAAGAAATGGTAGGAATTACTGAAATATTTGGTCAATGAATGTACTAGTCACTGCTTAGGACTATCACCTTATCGTTGGTGGGGGTGTTTGCGCGCTTCAATAGCTGGAGAACTATGCCATCGGGAGTCTTGTAATCCTGGTAGGATCAGCCAAGGCAGAAAGGTTAACAGGTAGAAGCCAGACGAAATATAGTATTCTGGCCCTCCAGGTATGGACTGATGGCCCATTCCTATAAAAAACATAGTTGAACTCTGGTGACCTTGCCCTTTGTTATATAATATAATTCCCTTTATCATAGTTTGTTTCAATATAAATATGCATTGTCATATTTAATTTTGAATACAAACAAGTTTTGGGGTTAAACCAACAGTGAGGAATCAGTCTACCGAATGTCCTTAAAAGATGTAAATATCTTACAAAAACATTGGTGCCTTATTTGTTTAATTATTTTAAGGGACATAATTTCCAGTAATTCAGATATTTTAGTATAAAAACAAATGCTTCATCGCAGAAAAAAGTGCTGCATTTAGACGTGAATAGATTCATAAAACATGCAAGATAACAAAAAATCTTAGCGCGCTTTTGTCCAAGTAATTTGTACAGGTGTCTGTCAAAAATTAATGATTCACTGAGACAAATGTGAACTGCCTCATTGTGTGACTACTGCATTATATGAAAAGTAAAAGAAAAACACCTTTTATGAATAGCTATCATGTTGCAAGCTCTGCTTTGTATGCAAATCAACTTAAATAGTTAGTTGGTGTCCAGTGGAGGGAGAAGTCAACAGTACTGTTGCCTCCTGAGAATCTACATCTTCAAACACTGCAATCTTTGAAGTGCGTTTTTAAACTAGTATTATAAAAACTATCATTCTGTTCTAATAGCTGAAACATATTGCTGTGAGTTTTCATTTGTCGAATGAACTGTTTGTCAAATACAGAATACATATATTTTAGAACAATTATCTTTTTAAAATGTGGATGAAATGTTTTGCTTTTTATGTATTTTTTATGTATTGTTTTTGATTTGATAACTTTGAACTAAACAGATTTTCTACTACCTTCAGATCTTGATCAAAGTTTGGCATCCAGTTCATAGGAGTGCTTATATTGATTTTCTGACATCTTGTTTTCTGTAAAGATTTTATTGGTAGGTTTGCAAATGTGTATCAGACTGTGCAATCTCTCCATGAGTTGGTTTTGAAACCCAGTATGGGATTCTGAGATACATTACCAAGGATATTATTACAAGATAAATCATTTGCTTCATTGAACACATACAACAATGCATCATATTTCCACTGAGATAAGTGACCTTTGATGTGTATCACCAGTGATCAGTCAAGTAGAAACAGCCAAAATATTTTATCAGATTTTCTCAATTTTTGCATGATATTTTCATACAGGACATCTGTTGTTCAAACTCAGGGAAGACTTTATACTTATGAATAAGGTGACCAAGTTTGATGAAGTTTGGAATAGAATTAGTAAAGTGCAATACACACAATAACAATTATTAACGACGACAACGACAACGACAACAACAACAACAACAACAACAACGACAACGACAACGTCGAACAACACTTTTCCCTTAATATACCTTTCCCTTCCATCTTTGATGGTACGGGCAAGGTAAAAAGTGATTATTACAGGAACCAGAAGCCGAACGTATACTATTGAACCTAACAATTTGGGGTGCGTCTGGATGAAAACCGAGAAGAAGCTCATGGGCGGAGAAGGCCATTGCTAAACCCAAAGCATAAACGAACATGAAACTGGAATGTTAGAAGGCAATGCAACACAACTAGCAGGAGAAATAGAGAAGCAACAAATAGAATTGATCGGTATCAGTGAGACATTTTATTGGGCAGAGAAAAATACAAATTGCTGGCGGAATGTCAATCATCTATCCAGGAAGAGACAGCGAGACACAGACAGTAGCTATAATGATGACAAATGAAGTAGTTAAAGCACTTATAGACTGGGCGCTAATAAATGAGAGGATTATTAAAGCAAGATTCTTGTCCAACCATGTCAAACTGACAATGATACATGCATATGCTCCAACAGAAGGCGCAGACGATCAAACAAAAGATGAATTATATGAGAAGTTCCAAGAAACGGTACAACAAGTATTTAAACATGACTTTCTCGTAACCACAGGTGATATGAATGCCAAAGTAGGCAGCATTAATGAAAATTATGAATGTTCCCTGGGCAGTAATGGAAACAGAAATGAGAATGGATTCCGTGAGAAATGTGCATTATGGAAGACTTGGTAATAATGGGCACCATACTTCCACACAAACGCATTCATGTTGCAACTCTGAAATCGCCAGATAGCTAAATCAAATAGATCACACGCTCGTTAATAAGCGATTCAGAAATTCAGCATTGGACACTCACGTAATGAGATCTGCTGACATAGGGAGCGACCATCACCTCGTGAAAACTACTGTAAAACTAAATATCAAACATGACAACATCAGAACCATTTGACACGACCAAGAGGATTTTAGATCCAGATCCAGATTCGCCATAGCAGTAAAAACAAATTTGAAATGCTGGAGGACAAAGTGAGGGAAGAGGAAAGTGATGAGATAGAACTAGAATGTCAAGTGATAGAGAAGTGCTACATTGAAGCAGCGAAAGAGGTGTTTAAGAAGAAGATGAAGAAAAAGTCATGGATTTCTGAGCAGCATGGTCACTAATTGAACAGGGAAGCAACTTGCATGAGAAGATCCATTGGACAAGGTCTAAAAGAATAAATAAATAAAGATTGAAAGATGATTACAAATATGTAAACATTATGGTAAAAAACCCAATAAGAACTGACCAAAGGTACTGGGCTGACAAAAATGCATTAAAATCACACAATTTCACTATTCGGAACCAGATCTCAGTCGTGTGTAAACGGGTCCACGGAGTCATATCTCCGTGATACACGCATTGGGCAATCACATTTAAACTTAATGTACATGTATATTATTATACATCTGTCACCGTAACACCATAAGTTATAGCGTGCCGTAATTTATCGGTATTGCACTGGGTATTTTCATCCTACCATATTAGGAAATTAGAATTCCAAATATGAAATGATTACGCGCGTAAGCGTCCTCTAATAATAAAAACAAACATGGCTGCCACCAGGGTTTGGCCGGACTCCATACAAAGAAGTTCTCTGATTCTGTTCTAAACTTTTTGGATTTCGGCATTCTCATGATGTATTCTTGGAAGGAAAAGATCTATAATAATAAGTTTAATAACCTCGTAATAACCTTATATTCATCGTGTTTAAATTTAATATAAATAAATATAAATAGTTGTATAATATGAATGCATAATTATATTTCGCACGCGAATTTTAAACGTCGTTCAGTGGTCGCATCGATTA